AAAAGGACGGAGAGTGCGGAAGACAACGCTGCGCGCACCACGCGCTTCAATTCCTCCCCAGTGACCGATATAATTGCGCGTTACACAACGCCTGCAAATTGAAACGCTGGCTGCTCGTGCGAAACACCGACGTACGGCCTAGCGACGACGCGCAGCTCAAAAGCCGAGGCGAAGCCGACAAAACAGAGAACGACTACGTTCCTATGAAGAGTAAAAATTTCAACGGCGACGCAAGGAAAGAAGAAGAAGAAGAAGAAGAGCCGTGCCACCACTCGGGGAAAGCCTATTACATGCCGAGCGTCAAAAGAGAATATCTTTCGACGATCGACAAGGACCGCAACGCCGCACAAACCACCTTCTCGCTATCGGCAGACGACGGCAACGGCTCGACAACGAGACCACCGGCGACAGAGGTAAACTCCAACGTCCTACAAACATTCCCTGCGCTGCGTAAATATGAATTCGTTGGAAATCTTACAAGCACTGGGCCATCTGCGTGTCAGATATGCGGGAGTCTATCCTGCCGACAGACTGCCGAGGGTGTGGACGAGGTCGACCGCTATCGTCGCTAACACAGACAACCACGATCGACCTGGCCGGCACTGGGTCGCCTTCTACATCGACGAACACGGCACCGGAACGTATTTCGACAGCTACGGACTCCCCCCCTTGGACCCCAGATTCCTCCTACGCCTACGTCGAAACTCCACCACCCACCGATGGAACACCGCCACCCTGCAGGGAATACTCTCTCAAACCTGCGGACACTACTGCTGCGTATTTCTATATTTTATGTCTAACGGTTATAATCCTGGGCAGTTTCTTAATCTATTTTCCGATGATTGTGAACGCAATGACCGACTGATTGTACAACTATTTCGTAAAATTTTTCTTTACAATAAAAACGAATGCGTAAAACCCCGCGCTGTATGCTGTAACGTTCAATCGTGTAGTATTAAAAAATCGCAACTCTTATAAAATCATCGTATGTACAATCTCCCAACATTCGTATATAATTACATTCTCGTAATAAAAGCTTATGTAACCCCGACTCTCGTCTACTTATTTCACCCTGCGACCTTCCCTCTCGTAACTTCGATACCATAGCGCATAGAACAAAGAAACCTGTTCATTCCTGTTTTCCTCCGACCCCTCCCCCACCTCACGT